AACCACACCCAGTCGCCTACTCTGTGCTAAAGCATGTTAAGTGCAGTCTGTAACCTCCTCAGCATTGTGGATCTTGAAAGTCCCCAAAAAGTATCTAAAAGTTCCCTCCGATTATATCAGCTTCTGTGTTATTAATTATTTTCTCCTTGGCCGGGCGCGGTGGCTCACACCCGTCATCCCAGCACTCTGGGAGGCCGAGACAGGAGGATCGATCGAGGTCAGGAGTTTCAAACCAGCCTGAGCAAGAGCGAGACCCCAGTCTCTGCTAAAAAATAGAAAGAAATTAATTGGCCGATTAAAAATATATAGAAAAAAAAACTTAGCAGGGCATGGTGGCGCATGCCTGTAGTCCCAGCCACTCGGGGGAGGCTGAGGCAGGAGGATCGCTTGAGCCCAGGAGTTGAAGGTTGCTGTGAGCGAGGCTGACGCCACGGCACTCTAGCCTGGGCAACAGAGTGAGATTCTGTCTCCAAAATTAAATAAATAAATAAAAATAAAAGTTCCTTTCTTTTCTTCTTTTTTTTTTTTTTAAGTTTAAATTTTTATTTTATTTATTTTATCCCTTTTTTTTTGTGGGACTGGAACTAAAACCATCAGAAAAAGTTCCTTTCAATTATATCAACTTCTTACTACAAAAAAAAAAAACTATGACGGAAAAAATTTAAAAAATACATTTGTAAATATAATTTAATGGGTTTTATTTTGGGTTTTTTGGGGGGTTTTTTGAGACAGAGTCTCACTCTGTTGCGGAAGGCAAGGGTCTACAAGCGTCCCGTAGGGCGGCGCCGTGGATCCAGCCTGTCTCCCACGCACTATTGGGAGGCCGAGCGGGAGGATCCGCTCGAGGGTCACGGAGTTCCGCAACCAGCCTGAAGCAACGTGCGCAAGAGAGACCCGCCGTCTCTACACCTACAAAAATAGCAAACGAAATTTAATGAGCCAACCTAAGAATATGTATAATAAGAAAAATGAGCCGGCATGGTGGCCATCTGACCTGTGTCCAGCTACTCGGGAGGCCTGAGGCAGGAGGATCGTTGAGCCCAGGAGATGAGGTTGCTGTGAGCGAGGTTGATGCCACGGGCACTCCCACTCTTCCAGCTGGTCAACAGATGTCGACCTGTCTCAAGAAAACCCCCAAAAACCCATTAAATTAGTATATTTACAAATGTATTTTTTACAATTTTTTCCGTCATAGTTTTTTTTTTTTTTTGGTAAGTAGAAGTTCGATATACATGGAAAGGAACTTTTTCGTGATGGTTTTAGTTCCAGTCCCCACAAAAAAAAAGGGATAAAATCCAATAATAAA